CCCCCCCCCCCCCCCCCCCGAATTCTCGAGGATGTCCTACCTTCCGCATTGGAAGCTTCGTTCGATTTCGCGTTTAGGGATGGTCCTTGTTCTCAGTGTTGTGTCCAAGACAGCTCATCCATAAGATAAGGCTGACACCTTATCAAAGGGGCTCTTGCCAGGGCCGGGCATCCAGAACTGAGCGCCCAAAATCGAATTGTCCACAGCATCCCGAACCCTGGCCCTCCAGCTCAAGGGTGGCTCCTTGACGAATTTGGCAATGGCATTTGGCGCTCCGAGCTTGGTCTTCGAGGGGTTTCCTGACCCAGTTCTCGTAGGAGGGGCTGTTGGTAATGGGCATGGCATTAGTACTGGTCGTGGTGGCGCTTGTTGGTCATTCTGCTTGTCGTCGTCGGCCGCCATCGCCATCCTCCACCTAATTGTGGTCCGCAGAGTCGTCGGCCAGTCTTGGACGCCAGTCTGCAGGCCTTGCTCGCCAGCCAGTTGTCCGTCGTCGTCGTCCAAGATGCAGTGGCCATGGTCTCTTTGTAGAAAGTAAACAAGAAGCAGTCGCAGCAGATGTAGCAGTACCAAGCAAATGGTGGCAAGAACCAAACTGCAAGCTTACGAGCACCCGCACTGCCCACCACCGCAACCACCGCCACAACAGCAATAAAGCTGCTGCTGGTGCCACTTACTTGTGACACTCTGGCCCCGTCCCCCTCCCGCTCCCCCTCCCCCCTCTCTTGCTCTCTCTCTCTCTCTCTCACTCTCTCTCTCTCTGCCTCTCCCGCTCTCGCTCTCCGTGTTTGCCTGACTCTCGCAGGCCTGAGGCCCTACCCTGGCTAATGTTTCCACGTCGTAATGATGTTGAGTAATGCGAAAACTTTGAGTGCAAAGACTTCGGGACTTCGAACGGCCAGCATGCGAGGCCCCTGGGGGGGCCACCAGCCCCATGCGTCCCGTGAGGGCCCAAGACGTCTGCAGTTGTCTCTCACTCTCTCTCTCTCTCTCTCTCTCTCTGTATGCGCTCTCTCCCGCTTCCTCTTCCTCGCTCTCTTTGATTCGCAGTCTGCACCCTCACTCGCAATCCTCACTCTTTCTACGAGGCCTGGAGGTTGCATTGATATGCTTTCAGAGTGCCTTCTGCTGAAGCCCGCCAACCAGCCCAACCAAAACTCAGAATTCGAACGCAAAGATTCCGACCGGTAAGCGTGTGAGGCCGGTTCGGGCGTCAGCCCCACGCGTCCTGTGCGGGCCCCAGGGGATTTCACGTTGAATTTCTTTGCATCTTTGTACCAACCGGGGCCCGGGGTGCCACATGGCAAAGGTGGCAGGGATGCTTTGTGGGGGCTTCAGGGGCTCATCGTGATGTGCCCGACGGCCCGACAACCTGCAAGAGATTAGAAATCTCAAGAGTCTATGGAGTCAGGTGGCGACATGCCACGTAGCTGTGCCAGCCTTTAGTCAAAGCTGAATCAGTAGAGCTCTCCATCATCAAGCCAAAGCTGCATTTGGTCATACGTAATTCAAGCATGAGCAAAACCACTACGGAATCCATGAAGAATTGCACTCGGCTTTTGTTTGTCTTTGAGCTTTTCGCAGCAATCACGGCGAGCACATTAGTTTAACAGCAACTTTTAGCGAGAAAGACATGCATTATGTATTTAGCTTAACAAGCATTAGCTGCGCATCGGTGTCGTGTTTGCTTCAGATAGAACATAACATCGTATATGTCCGTCCGCTTCATTTCTATATCGGTTGAAACGAGCGGAAGTGGAATTCTATGCCGAACTGGTTCAGTTCTTTGATCTTGTACTGTTCATTCCTGGTCTTCTTATCGCACGTCTTCTTTTCGGCCGGACTTCTTTCTCTTCAACTCCCCCGGGGCCTAGTGCCGGGCCTTGCTGGGTGGGCTGGTGATGGAAAGGGCGTGGACCCCCGGGGCGGCAGTAAGAGTCGTGGTTGACTCGAGGAGCACCCCCCTTTCCCCCACCTGGTGGCACTAGGGCGACAGTGCCGTACAGTACCCTATGAGGAACATTGGATCTCCGGATGGTCTACAATCTTTTGTTCTGAATCCGACGTCGACTTTACTTACTACTACTGCTGTGTGGTATCTATTCGTTAGCAGTGCATGCGATGCTGGTAGCGGTACTGCCATGTAGGCTTCGACAGGTGGTGTATTACAAGGCTTCTCATACACAAGGGGTTTCCGCGAAATGCTTCCCTTGTAGTACCTGTGTTCTTCAGTTTAAAGAGTGCTTGCTGCTCCGATTTGTCCAGTGCAGTAGTAGCAAGACACGGAATCTCTTGTGGATCCTGGAAGACATGCAGTATCCAAGCAGGTGCGACGGATGTAGACAGGCACGGGGGTGATGTTCGTGACCTTTTCCTTCCATGAGCGTCCAGCGCGCCCAGAAGTGGTAGCCGCTGAGATTCAGATTGCACCCCTAAGGCCGGAAACTATCATGTGCTTCAGGCCGTGGCGACAGAAGGAGCTTTGATAACATCACGATGCCCCCCTGGCTGCTGCCACAAATTCTTCGGGAGACGGTGACCTTGGAGTGGCTGGTGCAATTGACGATATCATATTTCACATTCCCCGAGCGCGGTCTTGGTACGGGACTACCTGAAACAACACCCCCTCCCCCCTCCATCGGGTTGCAGCATTGGTGCTCCCCGCTCACTGACTTTCGGGTCGTAGCGATGGTGCTCCCCGCATTACAATCACCCACCCGCCCCACTGGGTCGTAGCATTGGTGCTCCCCTCTCCCACCTCCGGGTCGCAGCATCAATGCTCCCCACTCCACGACTACCAGACTCTCAGAAAAGGCACGCGAATACGTCAAGGCCATTTGCGCGAGTCAACGGAGCCCTGGCGGACCCTCGTTGTAAGACTTGATGACTTGAATGACTTTGGTCACTGTCTTCCGGAGCTACTCCGGCGACGCTCGGGTCGGTCTCGGCCTCGGGATGGTTCGAAGTGGCGTCCTCGATCACCCGCTGCACAGATCCCATCTTGAGGGCCAAGGGCGCTCACTTAACCTTCGGAGGAACCACACCTTGAAGTCGTCGGAAACCGCGGCCCCCTTCAGGGCCTTGTCGATGTCGGTCCTCAGCCCGACCGAAATTTGTGCAGATCCACGACGGGCGCGCTTGTTGAGGACGCCTTGCCCTTGGTCCCGTCCACGCGAACCCTCGTGGACATGCAACTGCGGTCGGTATCGCGGTCAAGCTCCACGACGTGCTGCACCGGACCGAAGTCGTAATAGACCATGGCCGCGTTTTTTCCAGCTCGTCGTCACGAGTCCTCTGGTCGGCTTCCTTCGCGTAGTCATCCTTGGCACTGTCGGAAAACTTCTTGAGCAAGCATGAAATACGTACATATAAGAACAAGATGTATGTATATGTATATGATAGTTGCTATATACGACAATTTACGAATGGTTTTGCTGTGAAAGAATAAGAGCAGAAAGTAACAACAATGATGAAAATGGTAATACGAGGAATAATACGAATAAGAACGCGTAACAATGATGATGATGGCGATGAACAGACACAATAACGATAATTGTAATAATAGTAACAATACTTGTAACAATCGTAATAATCGCCACAAGAATAATGATTATAATAGTAATAGAAAGAACGGCTAAAGACAGGAGGAGAGCAAAAGCTCAGGCCCAGGCTCCAAGTTTCCAAGTCCCGGAGCCCGCACGTACCTCGGCGGCGCGCGCGATGTCGCCGAGCTTGGCCTCTTGGGGGCAGTGGTATTGGGGCTTGGGGTTTTAGAGTTTAGGGTTCAGGGTTTGGGGCTTGGGGTGTTGGGTTCAGGGTTTTGGGGTTTTGGGGTTTGGGGCTGAAGGTTTAGGGTTGTTTCAATGGCTTCCTTTTTTCGGGTTCTAGAGAGGGAAAGGGAATCGAGATGGGGTTTAGAATTCATGTTCATGGCTTTCTTTTACGAGCTTTGGATAACGATGTAGTTCATCATGTTTCGGGTTTCTGTTGAAAGCTTCCTTTGAGGTCCTATAAGGATGAAATGTATTTCAGGCATTGCGTTTTGTTGAACAGCCTAAAACAACAACTACCGATACTGTTCCTTAGGGTTCCCTATTATGATGGTTCCCTATTATGATTCTACCATAGGCTAGGGTGTCCATGTTCAGGCAAAAGGGCACGACATGTCCTTCATTGCATCTTGAGGTCACGTTGCCGTCCGCTTCAAGCTCAATCTGTGTGAATGAACTTGGCTCTCTGTTCCGATGTTCCGGAGGACAGTTAGCCTTCTGTTGGCCACGTCTTATGTCCTCCAGGTCTGTGAACACCTCCAGTTTACAAAAAAAGGTTGCGTCCAGTAGCCTCGCTGCAGGTGTTTGGGGTTCCTCATCGATCTCCGGTGTTTAAAGCGCACTCTTTGCTACTTGCTCTCATCCAAACCAGCTCTAAAACTCTCCTCCTCCTGATCTGAGAACACTGGTTCTGCATAGAAATTGTCTTCGACTCTTGCTTCCGTCCCGTCAGCCGTGTATTCATGCCTTGGCACACCAACAGCCCAGGTGAGGGAGATGGGATCGCCGAAGGACTCTCCAAAGGCGACGCCAAAGAGCACGCCGAAGAGCTCGGCAAGCCGATCGCCGAAGGGCTCGCCAACTGCGAAGGGCATGGAGGTCCTGTCCTCAGTGATTGCTGTGGCCTTCACCCCACGCGGCATGACTGCAGATGATCTACCTTAAGACGGGTGATCTTGCTTCGCACGAGTAGTCTTGAAGAACAGTCCAAGCTTGTGGTGCGCTTAGGGTCGAAACAGAATGGAACTACTGCTGCCTGCATGCAGAAAACCAGTCTGCATGAAGAGCTGGAGCCAAACATTCTGGCTGCGGCAAGGGGTGAAAGCATCCAAAGCATTTGCAAAGCGAAATGCCTCTGAGGGCACAGAAACCCCGTCACAACTCGAACCTTCCTTTTGCCGGCTTTGATAAAAGAAAAAATTCTCGTCGCGAGACAGAGCAACGACAGCTGCCTGGAACGTGCCAGATTGTTCATGTATGAATACCAGTTACAACTACGGCTTGCCTCGTAGCAGTAAGAGGTTATACGAGCCAGACTGGTTCAGGACAGCACAGTTGGAATTAAGGATGTGAGCTCTGTCAGCTATCCACCACACAGTGACGAATCCCTGATCAAGTCAACCTTGCCGCAGCATAAACCCAACTGACCAGCCTAGCTCGGGTGTGCTGTCTTAACTTGAAAACTCAGTGTACAGGGTGTCCGAAGGAGAAGCACGCAACTTTGTTCTTGGGCTCGAAAAGCACATTGTTGTAACTCGCTGCGACTGTCCTGTGCTTATGACTCACGATTGGCCCAGTCTAACCCCGGATTCCTAAGCCCCCATGAGCCCTGTATTCAGGGGGGGGTAGCGGCACTGGCTCTGCTTTAAGGGCCGAACCCACTGCAGGCCAGTCCATCTCCACTGCAGGGCCTGCAGAGCAGTGCATCTGGGAAAAGCTTGATGGCTGTGTTTGCAGCGGCCCCAGAGAGAGTGCAGAGAACGCGGCAGAACTCCAGGGAGTGCTCAGCTGCGAAGGTCACAGCGAGAGTCTCACCAGCTGCTCTCAGACCCTCCAAGCTTTTGAAAGTCTCGAAACCGACTCCCCAAAATCAGAACTCAGGGATCTGAAAAGCCAAATGCTTGCGCATGACATGTGTCATGGCCACCCACACGTAAAGTGCACGTCTCTCGCAGTTATCAGAGACTGTGGATTCCCTTGCGAGGTCGACATGCAGACTGGCGAGGAGCAGCAGCTAACACAGAAGAGAAGCCTCTATTCCATTTAGTGCTGCAAAGCACAATCGGTTCCGAACACGAAGAAAATGTCCAAGTCGTCCAAGCCTGAAGCTCCGAACTCTGGCTTTTATATAGAGTGGTATCCCGGATCCCCCCCCAAAAAAATCTCCAGATTTCGGACAATCGGATCCGCCTCTGAGACTTCGGAGCTCTGAGGGTTTGGTTCTTCAAAGCTAACTGCAGTTCCTCGTATTTTCGACCTCGGCTCCCACTGCCTACCTCCCTGCTTTTCTTACTGCTACTACTGCTCATCATACTCGGCCTACTCCTGCTGTTCCTTCTCCTACTCACATTACTCCTGCCATTTCTTTCATTGTTGCTGCTGCCACTGCTACACCTCTTCTCCTTCCTCATCCTGCCCCTCCCGCTAGTGCTGGTGCTTGTCCTCGTGCCGGTGCTCCTGCTGTTGCTTCTGCTGCTGCTGGTACTACTGCTGCTACTATTTTTACTGAGCACAAACGGCATCCGCGTCAGCAGCAAAGAGGTGGCATAGCAACGTCTAGAGGAGTTGCCATGGTAGGGGTGCTACCAAAAGCGAGCCAGCATTGCTCTGCCTGTTGTCGCCTCAAGAGCTCCTGACAGCCTCTTCTCAATGCCCAGAATCGTCTGCATTTCCGGGTGGTCGGTCGCATGATGAAGGCTCAAATCCCGGCAGCACCCAAAGCTCCTAGGATCACACAGCCTCAGATGACCGAAGTTGCTAACAAAGGCTTCCAAAACCACCATTCGGGCAGCGAATTCGTTCCGCGATGACGTGTGACAGTGCGGCCTAAGATCAACGGGATCCCAGCTGCAAAAAGCCGAGCTTCAACTCTGTGCGTCTGCTGTTGCCCGTAGCTCTTTTGGTTTTTTTGGGACTCTGCCGAGCACCCTGCAAGTTCGTGGGCACCAAGCACGCAAGGCCCCAACCCTGACTCCGAAACCCGAGATGTAACACACCTTTGCCCGGCTTCATGGAGCAAGTTTGTACAGGTCATACCTCGGTGTTGTCGGTGAGAAATGTCGTAAGGATCAGGCCAGTGGACTGTTCCAAGGGTTTTCAGCGGAGGATTGTTTCGGAATTGGCTTTCGGGTTTTGGGTGAGGCTCTTGTTCCGGCCAGCCGAAAGAACAAGAACTTGAAGCTTGCAAGTAGGCTCTTCCAAACTCGATGTTTGGGAAAGTGCCGTGCCCGGAAGAGAAGTCAACATTCCCTTCTTCGCTCGTGGCTCCAGCAAGCAGAGCTGCGTGGCTCGCGATTTTGAGACGTCCTTAAGTCCCGCGCACCGAGCACCGAGCTCCCGTAGTTTGCCATGGCGCTCCAGACCGAGGCAAGGCCCTGGGAATCGGAGACTCGGGACTCGGGGAATACTTGGAGGTTCATGGGTAGTTATAAGTGGGGTCATAAGTCCCCTAATAGGGGTGATAATTATAGTTACCCTACATATAACCTTACTTATAACTACCCATGAACCTCCAAGTATGGGAGACAGTCCCTTGGAATCTGCGTAAAGTGGACCCAAGCATGATATAGGAGACGAGCTCCCACCGGCTACCCCTCCGGGCCCCTGTTACGGAAGCAGGCTGTGAGACTACATGTTGAGAAACAGGCCCTCGAGAGAGCTGCGATGGGTCTGTAAAGGGTTGTGGTTTGACATTCTCTCCCGAACAGCAGCTTTCTGGCCCAAAGCCACGGCACAAACACTTCGTTGGAGCAAACAGCAGCCAGGCTTTTGTCTTCGGGGCAGCGCAGAATGTACTGCCCGCCAGGTGCGCTGGCATCTCTTGTGCTAGCAGTTGTGGGTGCAGCGGCACCAGTAGTGGTGGAGTGTAGTGGTAGTGGTAGTCGCAGTAGTAGTAGTAGTAGTAGTAGTAGTAGTAGTAGTGCTAGTGGAAGTGGTAGTAGTAGTAGTAGT